GTGACCTAATATTCTTACAACCCAGAGTTTTTCGTTTTGTTTTGATGTTGGTGAAAGAAATATAATTTAAAAAAATCGCGTTTGAAGCCCCCTATCGTCAAATTCCACATTTGTAAAATTAATTAAATAATAAAATATTAAATTAATACCAGCATACCAGAAAAAAAATAGTTTTAAATTTAACTCTCGAGCAACAGTTGCTTTACATTACAGGCCCAGTTGTGATGACAGCTCCCCTTTTTCCCAGCAAGAGCCCAGTGACTGCTGCTGCTGCTCTGTCGCTCACAAACATTTGTGACTCATTTAAAGCACGTTACTTAATTATTTCATAGTGATAACGCGGCTGCAGACGCACGGCACGTAACCTGAGGTGGCGTACGGGGCCTTCATGTTGCAACAAGCCAATAAAATATGGAGGGAATACAGGAGGACTTAACAGGCTGCTTGTCACTTGTGAAAGTTCACAAAGGTCGCCATAAATCTCATAGTGCAAAACTGCAAAGGCAAACTCTGTTAAGTGTCTATGTGTGTGTGTGTGTGTGTGTGTGTGTGTGAGTGAGTGTGTGTAGGCTTCGGGTTTTATGTGTGTGTGTGCTCGTGGTGCTCAGTGTGTGTACGCTCGTGCACGCGCATGCTGTGTGCCGTGTGAGAAGACGAGTGTGTGAGAGTGAAGGGAGGAGTAAACTGTGAGAGGCTATGCCTTCGTGGTGAGAGAGAGAGAGGGAGGAAGAGAGGGGAGGCAGAGAGAGGGAGGGAGAGCAGCTTACGGAGGAAAAAAAAGAGATGAAGTGAGTCTCATTCGTCGTTTTGCTTCAAGATAAGTTGTTGAGGTTATGTGCAAAAAGCGCAAGTGGTGCACGACGGCCGTAAAACACAGAGGTATGCAGGTCCTTGCAACAATTAAATTACCATATGAGTAACCGGCCTAAGCACTGAGAGAGAAAACTAAACCCCATGCAGCCTCCACTATAGCTAAATATAATAAACTGTAGGTTCACACACTTCCACACCATGCAGTCTACGCACAGGCCTATCATGGCCCCTGCTCCCAACACACACACGACGGATAAGTAAGAAAACTCACCTTTCAATCTATTACTCTTTCTCGAGGAAATGTTCTGGAGTGAATGCGGTAGGATGAGGGCGAAAGCAGAATGAAGGACTGATTTGAAGATTTTTTTTTTGGTCCAGATCCCCTAAAATAAAGAATGTGAGCTCCTTCCTGGGACAGATTGAGGGGGGAAAGGATGTGAAAGGCTTGGAGTTAAAAAGCGCCGCTTGAAGCACTCAGCGCGTCTCTGAACTTGATCAGATTTTATGTGTCCTGCAGCGAGTCAGCGGCAGCCCCTGTGAAACTTGCTCAATGGCACGAATTTTTTGGCTGAGCGAAAAAATCTCAGGATATTACAATTACTGCCATCTTTCTTTCTGTCTTTTATTCCTCCGTCTTACACCCTATAGAGCTTTTGCTTAAAAAAAAAAAAAATACCCCCCTCCCCTTTCAAGCGGCTTCAAGAAAGCCACAGTTTGGAGCTGTGCCAAGTACATTCAAGTTTTCAGTTAATAAGAGCCAAACTGGTCACATGAAAGAGAGAAATAACACAGATAAGTCAATGATATATAAACTATATTACACAGATAGATGGATAGATAGATATTTTTAATTTGCAGGCCCTCTTAACAAACTTAAACTTGACTTTAAAAGTATAAGTTTTTCCCCCACAATACATTTGGGGAATAAAACCAAATATTATGTCTCAGATTAACTTCTCTGTTTCTGTAAAACAACATGCACTAAAAGTTTGCACGCACCATGCTGGTTTAAAAACACTGCAGCAGGTATAATAGCCTAAATATATTTATTTTTATGTCATATTCAAACTGCTTGGGGAGTTTCTGGAGGAGTGTACCTCACGTATGGCTGCATAAGCCATGCGCTACACATAACACATCCAGGATCTGCGCTAGAGTGCTCCGTTATACCTGCAAAATAATGCCTGTAAGAGCCAATCAAATGAAACCAATTGAGACGACCTGCCATCTCCAATACTAAACTGTGCCAATCACCAGAAATCTAGCCAATTAACACCCTCCTTCGCGGTCACGTGTCAGAGGGGTAGCCGCGCGCTGATTGGCTGTCGTAGCACTGCCTCCCGAGTTCATTTATGTTCTGGGAGTGAGTGATTGACTTTATCAGTCCAAGGACATCATCCGCCTGGAAAGGGGGGGAAGTTTGATCCTCTTTCTCACGGATCGCAGTCAACGGGAGTTTTTTTCTCCCAACTCTTTACGCATAGGATTTTTCCCCGTTTTGGCTACGTTTGTTTTTTTATTTTAGGATTTTGCTCCCCCAGCAAAACGTGGTAAATCTCGGCGCGGTGTCTGCAGCTTGCGCGCTCCGCTACACTGGATTTTAATTTTATTTTCTGTTTTCTTCCCGTCTCCTAAGTTTGCTTCAAGCTTCATGACTATGCTTCTTGATAGCGGTCCGCAGTTTGCATCGTTAGGAGTGGGGGGTTTCGGGACAGCACGGCACCACGACATCGGGAACAGAGACCCGGGTCTGGGACTGAATCCCTTCACCGATTCTTCCCACTCCGCAGCTTTCAAAATCAGCCCCGTGGCTCACGATATCGCCTCCAGTCAGACATCAGCTTTCACCCCGCAAGCCACTGGATATGCAGCTGCCCTGGGACACACTCACGGCGGGCAGGTGGGCTCGTACGGTGGGGGAGCGTTCAATTCAACACGGGACTTTCTCTTCCGGAACCGGGGTGTTGGAGAGTCCACAGCACCCAGCGCCCAGCATGGGATCTTTGCAGCTTCGGCGGGGAGCCTCCACGGGCCGCCCGGGATCACCGATAACCCCGGACATCTGTTGTTTCCAGGACTTCACGACCAGGGGGTGAGCCACACTTCACCGAGTGGACATGTAGTAAACAGCCAAATGCATCTTGGCTTACGCGGGGACATTTTCGGAAGACCTGATCCGTACCGTCCGGTCGCGAGCCCTCGGACGGACCCCTACGGGGCTCAGCTGCACAACTACAGCCATCCTATCAACATGAACATGGGGATGAATGTGCCGACGCACCACGGTCCGGGGGCCTTCTTTAGATACATGAGGCAACCCATTAAACAAGAATTATCCTGCAAATGGATAGACGAGAACCAGATGAACAGACCCAAAAAGACTTGCGACAGGACTTTCAGCACCATGCACGAGATGGTCACTCATGTGTCCATGGAGCACGTCGGCGGCCCCGAGCAGAGCAACCACATCTGCTTCTGGGAGGACTGCCCGAGAGAAGGGAAATCTTTTAAGGCCAAGTACAAACTCGTCAACCACATCCGTGTGCACACGGGCGAGAAACCGTTCCCATGCCCGTTCCCCGGATGTGGGAAAATATTCGCCAGATCGGAAAATTTGAAAATCCACAAAAGAACGCATACAGGTAGGCAGCGACACTATCATGGCATGGTGTGCGTAAAATAACACTTAGAAAAAAGTCAGGCTGCTCTGAGAGGAACTGGTGTGTGTTAGGCATTGTGCTCCAAAAAAACAGAGTGCATGTTTTTGTTGTTTACAAGAGTAAACTGAGAAGTTGGGCCCACATTTATCATGTGGAACAGTTCCCAAATTGTTATTAGTGCAGCTTATTCTCAACTATTTCTACTTATAAAATAGTGTTGGCACAATTACGCAAAAAAACATGGTTTTGCTGAGCAGCCCTGTGTGTTTAGACTCAGTAATTCTGCAGCTTTGATGCTGAGAAGTTGTGTGCGATATATAAAGATAGTTTCCTCACTTGCTAAAGTTTGGGTGCACTAGCTGCGTCAGGCTATCCAGGCAGACTATCTCTGTGGTGCTTTCTGGACGTCATATACAATTATAACGCATCAGTTTCTGACCGTGTTTGTAATCCTCACCCTTGTTCAGCTATCACTTAGAGCAGAGATGCCCTGTTGATTCAGTGTTTACTACATAGGAGCAGACGCACGGAGCAGGCCAGTAGTAGCATGAAGGAGCAGGCCTCTTGAATAAATAAAGCCTGACAGAGCAGAGTGTAGTAGTGGAGCTGTATCCATGTCGCCCCGAAAATGTAGGTTACTCCTGTTATATAATAAGGCTGCAGACAATTTACATCTCCGTGCTTCGGTTTTTTTTTACAGGTGGTGTGTGTTTGTTACAATGGGGGGGTTGGTGGTTGTTTGTGCGGGGCCACTGGTGGTAATTCATGGTGTGTATTTAATTCCTGCAGGTGAGAAGCCGTTTAAGTGTGAATTTGATGGCTGTGACAGACGCTTCGCCAACAGCAGCGACAGGAAAAAACACATGCATGTGCACACATCAGACAAGCCATACATCTGCAAAGTGTGCGACAAGTCATACACACACCCCAGCTCTCTCAGGAAACACATGAAGGTAATTAACGTCTTCATTACTCCTTAAACACATTAACACACACACACACACACACACACACACACACACACACACACACACACACTTCACCCCTCACCCCCCTCCTCCCCCCACTGCCACAGACAGGGACTACAACAACTTGAGGCATTTCTTGAGATGTTATGGCACTGTTACACTGCAAGAAAGAACATTTAGGATGCCATTTAGTCTGTTAGTGACACTGAAATATATCAGTTATGTCTGTCTCTGTTTTATTTAATCACAGCTGCCCTTTTGTCTTATTTAAAAAAGTAATGACTTGAAGAAAAACGTTCAAATGTTGTGCGTAAATTACAATTTTTTAAACCACAAGCGTAAAGGCAAAAATGACAGATTACGCACTAATGGCGCATTGATGTTTTGCAGTGTAAAGTTGCCGTGCCACTTTCAACTTTGCTGTGTGTTTACTGTTATAGTAGCTCTATAAAATCTACTTAATCCGCGTTTAACTTCACCACCATCCACAGAGCCACTGTTGGAGCATAAATGGATATTATACGCCAGCCTCGGTTGCTCATTCTTATTTCTTTCTTTCTGTTTTTTGCAGGTACATGAGTCTCAAGGATCCGAGTCGTCTCCAGCAGCAAGCTCTGGATACGAGTCGTCCACACCGCCAGTGCTGGTCTCAGCCAGCACAGAAGACCCGACAAAAACACCGCCGTTAGCCGTACAAAACACGTCTGGCCACAGCGAAGGACTTGCACCCAACTTTAATGAATGGTACGTTTGAAGTCAGAAGAACAGACCCTCTCTCAATGTGGACCACGGGGGTTGTGGATAAAAGAGGATAAAAACCTTAAAAACTATTCCTGTTCTCCTCACACACACTCATACTCCCACAATCACACACACACTCTCTCACACACACACACACACACACACACACACACACACTCTCTCACACACACGTCACGCTGTCAGACACACACAAATGGGATTGGGACAACAACAACAACAGGAGATGAGAGCAAAAGCCAGCACCAAGCAGGCCACGTCCGTTCTCAGGATCACGAAAAATTTGACTTTTATTCCGCAGTTTTGAGGAAATCAAATAATGAAAAAAAAAATAAAATAAAAATCCACGAATAAATAAAATCGTAATACTTTCTCAGTATAAATAAATGTTTTTTTATCTTTTAGTTTACAGAAAAAAATGTTTTATTTTTCATTTTATGTATTTTCTCAAATTTTTATTTAAAAAAAAAGAATAAAAAGGAAGATTATTTCACGCTGTTTTATATGACGGTGACGCGCTACTGTCGCCTCTTCAATTGATTGTTGGAACTTCAAACAGTCTTAAGAAACGTGCCAAAGTCTTTGTCATGAACTTGAACACAGTTAAAAAAAAAATCCTAAATAAATATTATACTCGTGAATGTATTTCCTTGTTTGATGGGGTCGAATCTATTGTCAACGTCCGTTTTTCAGGTGGAGAAATGTGGTATTAGGTTACGATTGTTACCGTTGAATATAACGTTGCCTTTTGTTAATACCGTTGTAAATACATATCCATGATGCCATATTTATCAATTTGTAATTTAATTATGGGTATAAGTTCTGAAACTTAAATGATATTTATGGAAATGTTTTCTAACAAGAACTGTACAGTTTTGGTCATAACCAGCTTAACATTGAACAAATGATAAACTCTAAAGCTCCAACATCGCGATTGTATCCTTCTGTTTTTTTTTTCTTTTTAACCAATAGGCCTATATGTGTCTTATTTGGATCGAAGAAATCATCTATATGAATATTATGGATTTGTCTTTATATAATGCAGATATTTCCGTCACTTTTATTTTCTTTATGAGACCATTGACATGTAAATCATTGACTTTGTAGGACTGAGTTCAGTTGAGCTGAGAAGCTATAAAACGGTTCTGTTGATATCTTTATTTTTGGTTAAATTTAAACTTGTTTTGTGTATTTTACTTTCATAGAATCAGAAATAGATGTCAATTCGTAGCATAAACTCAGTATTGGGAGAGTGAGAAGAGAGAAAAAAGAATAAACCCATCAGCCTATTGCACTCCTATACAGGTCTTAGACGAGTGTGCGAAGTTCATGATTTCCAAATCAAGGTGACAGCATTTTGAGTATTTCAAATTCGGGGTCAAGCACCCAGATATATGCGCCTGTATGGCACTCTTTATAGTTCCAGCAATGTCTTTGTGCAAGTATGTTTAAATGTGTGCATCGGCAACAATGGAACTGTCACAACACAGTATCTTCAAAAATAAAAAAAGTTTTTTTGTCTGTCAGCTTGCATTGTTTTAAATGTAATTCTTCTGTGAAACTAAGCGTGTTATTTGTTGTGGTGTTGCATATAGAGCAGTTTGATTACACATTTGCTTGTTTTGTGTGAATAACTTGTCAAGATGACATTTTTTGTGTTTAACAAAATTTAGTGGAAGGAATTCTAGATCTATGTGGGTTTGAGGGAGGGAGGGGGAGGGAGGGAGGGGGAGAATACGTTCAGTGGCAAAAAGAGTTACAGCATTGCATTGTAACCTATTCTCAAGAATTAAATATTATGCATACACAAAGTATATTGTACTCATATGAGAACAATTTCAGACCACCAGCACTACTTTTAAAATAAAATGTAAAAAAACGGTACCTCGTGACAGTGATATATGAAATAAGTTTATTTAAATAATTTAAGGAATATATGTTTTATATGCTATTTTCTATACCTTAATTTAAATGAAGTACTTTTTCTTATTCCCACCACCTTTCTGCCCCATGTCCAGAGGTCAGCGAAAAGAAAAAAAAAATACCTGATGTATAAACACAGCTAGAATGTGATGTTGTAACACTTTCTGGGAGAAATGGGTCACACTCCAAGTTATTCCTGAAGAGCAAAAATGTTTTACTGATGAACTGTGTCACTGTGCCACATTGAGGCAAACCATGTTACAACAGCAGGCCTATGCGTTAGCCTATTTAGCTACCAGAGGCAAAGGTTCCTTGTACTTTTTAGGCTACTGTATGTTGGTTGATTTGTTTTACCAACTATTTATGAAGAAATGTGAACGGAAATTTTGACTGAAATTAAAAAAACATTATGAAAAGCGAGTCTCAGACTGCGACGTTGATTATTATCACCATGTTGTTCTGCTCCCTGCATCTTTACGCATATAGCCGACACTGTTTGCCATGCTGTTTGTATCAGACTAGTAGGAGTCACTTGAACTTGACACTGATTAAGGCGCCATCTTAGTATCTTGGCTGTGTGTGTGTGTATGTGTGTGCGTGCTGTGTGAATGGGAATATTGAGGGGGGAGCAAGTTAGAGGAGCACATCTTGGCAGAGAGCAGGGGGCTTAGATGGGGGATGTGGGTCATCCGTCTATGGCTGCAAAAGTTGCACATGCAAAGTTTTTTTTTATTCTATTAAATGAGCGCTTACAAATAATAATCCTGACGTGCAGACTGGAAGACGGGCAACTGAGGACACTGTGTGACCGTGAAAGTGGAGTGGGATACGTTGCCAAAAGTGGCGCTGCCTCAGCGTCTCCCACTACCCGATTAACAAGGAACCGCTTCATAAAAACAACCAAAGGAGTTACCACACATCAATGGACGCCATAATAAGCATTTAAACGGCGAAAAAAATCAGTTTGAATCACAACAAGAGCTCATGCACAGGCTCTGAATCTCTAATATTACACAGTGTCATTTACCCGATGTTTTATAGCGCTATATCCGCTTAAACGCAGGAGAAACAACAAATACGCAGTGTGTATAATCTGAAAGACTGCTGTGAGAGAGAGAACACTGATTCACTTCCCTAAAGCAGAGCAGCATTTTTACACCAACCCCCCACAAGGTGCTTCAAACCAACACACACCCCCAATATCCTTCAACTATAAACAGATTTGGGAATATTGATTCAAATTCTGTTTTTGACTTTTGCGCAAGCGCAACCTTTGCATTCCGTTTGATTTCATTTCTTTTCACCCCCTCTTCTCTCCCCTCTTCCCCCTCCCTCCACCATCCTCCCTCCCTCTCTCTCTCTCTCTCTCTCTCTCTCTCTCTCTGCCCGGCTCGTCTAGTCGCACATTTCAAGTTCCCCCTCTCAGACACCGTGACGTCAAATAACCGAGACCCGGCTTCCTCTGAAACACGGCGGGCTCACATGGAGGCTGCATTTTTACGCATGCATCTGTGATGCGCTGCGCTCCGACCTGCAGCGGCTGATCATAACAAGGGAGGACGCAAAAATATGATGATAAAAACAAATAAAACGTAAAGATTTATACATCTTAACATGTGTTTTTCCTTTCCCTTACATCAGATTGCATCAGTCGTTAAATTAAACCGGGCGGATCAGCTGCAACTCTGCAAATAAAATAGATTTTTTTCCCTGGTGTTTTAGGTGTTAACCCTCCACTGGGAGCTGCTCGTGTTATTGCCCATGCATGTGCTTTATGCTGACGCCCAATACAAGTCATCGTTTCCAGATAATATGAGAAACCAGAGCAGGCGATTCAATCCAGAAGAGAGAGAGAGAGAGAGAGAGAGAGAGAGAGAGAGAGAGAGAGAGAGAGAGAGAGAGAGAGAGAGAGACATGAAAGGCTCCTTTCTGGTGGATTCTCAATGGATTAGAAAGCAGTGACGGTCACGTGGATGCAGTTGTGTAAAGACTGGCGGCTGTATCACAGCAATGCCCCTCTGCATGCACACTACTACTGGCTCTGCATTACGTTAGCGCTCATTCATCTCAACTTATCTTATGGATTGCTATACTGGGCTGCGGTGTGGACCCGGAGGATGGCAGCTGACTGTTGGCAGCGTGCAGTAGCCTATAATCTCTCCCTGCCTATAGGGTCTGCTGCTTGTTGTATCCGAAGGAGGAAGGGAGCGGAGGCTGCTGGGGGGGGGGGGTATTCTGCAGGAAATAAAAATAGTACAGAGTTGTAGCCTACTCCTGGCTGTCGCTGAAGTTTGATATCGGATTGATTGGTCAACCCCAGCCTCCTCTACCGTCTTCCTCCTCCCGTCTACTCAGTCGCAGAGTATTTGCTGGCTAAGCGGGAGAGCGCGCTCTAAGAGGATAAACCGACACAAGCAGGTCCCAAACGCCTTTTGTCACGCAACGGAGGCTGTGATCTTAATAAAGCCAGTGGCTAATTTATCACTCATTAATAATTTGCCAATTATTAAGCGCAACATGCACAGACTTTATCACAATGAATTCAAAAGTGCCCCCGTGAGCATATAGCTGCACATGCAAGGCTGCTTTTTACATTTGGGGCTTTTTATTTGGCACCATTAAAGCTTTACAGTGAGTGAGGCTGTGCAGGCTGCAGAGTGTTGCTCATGAGCGCTGCGGCAGGGCCCTTGATCTGAGTATGAGACTTTATGGATATGGGACGGCCCTTATGACCCCACTGCTGCCTGCAGCACATCAGGATGCTCAAATTCCCTCCCTTCACCTCTAAATAGGCACGATGCTGCCAAAACTGAATCATCACGAGTTAATTCAGTCATCTGAGTGTGTGTGTGTGAAATGCAGGGTTTTATCTTTCCACATATGGCAACAAGACAAGTTAACAGAGTGGATTACTGCACATATTTATAGCAGTCGTGTCTTTAATCAACACATTAAGCCTGCATATATTTTGTCATTAAACGCACCATGACAATTAGATTGAAGTGAGATGGATTGGTAACATCATACGGGGGGAAAATGTGTCTTGATAAACAAATAATTGCATAAGAGCTAACATACATCTGATAATTGCCTAAACGAGGTGCTTCCATGTGCGCGGAAGTCGATGCGCTTGCCAATTACGGATGCTTATTTCACCTCCAGCAGAGTGTTGAATATGCATTCGCGAAGTACCTTAATCCACGGTGTGTCTTTATATCTTTACGCGT